GTTGATATAACTTGATCCGACAGTAAAGACAAAAGTACATGAATTTTTATTCTGTTTTTTTTTTTTGAAAAAAGTAATGGTTTGTAGTATAAGTTAATTGTTTGTTAAAAATTAGAGATTTCATTCACAGATGAGGATGAGCGTCACCACTTTCTTGTTAAAGAGTGCGACCCAATGAGCCATCTAATGGAATTCGATTTTTTTTTTTTTTTATGTTTTTATTTTATTTTATTTTTTTTTGTTCTGTATTAGGATTAAGAAGCAGGGCAAATAATCGTTCCCGCTTGGAAAGGGGCCTTTTTCTTGAAGAACTTATGGAATGATTCACGGAGGAAAGACTGAGGTTTCTGGGATTTCAATTCAATTAGGCAACGATATAGTTTGCATGGTTATGTAAAATTATAAATTTATAAATATGAAATGTTATTAAATAAAAACTTTAATAATATAACAATATATTATAATTATAAATTTATAATGATATATAACATTGTTATTATGTTATTTTGAGTTCAATTTTCTGGTTGCTGCCTGGAGTTGGACGATCATGAAAAGAGGTATACTTTCTCTTCTATTAAGAGAATTAGGGGGACCATGAATATTGTATTCAGCTAACTTGCTCCCCGATCAAATCCAGGCCAACAGCCAAGAAAGACAGCCCTTGAAACAACAAGAAGTAAAAATGAACTCCGTGCTGGGATAGCAGACTTCTAGCAGAAGCAGTGAGGAGAAGAAAAGCAAGTGCAAGCTCTTTTTTGTACAGCTTGTTCTTTTTCTTTGGACGAGGGAGTTCACTTTGCCCGAGTTTGTTCAACATTTCCAAGCCAGACTCAGAGTGCTTCCTGAGGATCTTCTCCTCGCTGGGAGACTTTGATTCTCTTTCAGCTGGTGCTAACAAATCAGATTCTGATGATCTGCCTGTTTTCTTTGTTACCACCCACTCATAAGCACTTCCGAGCTGAAATAATCCTGATATCATGGCATTGAATTTGGTAACAGACATTGTGTTCTCAAAGAGAAGGTATGGAACCAGAAAAGGGAAGGATTTGAAGACTGGGAGGATGTTCAAGAAAGACATAAAAATGGGGACATAACAGATCACCCAGAGGGGTAATTCAGCCTCAGGTATAAACATGGTCAATGGAAGTATGATACAAAATAATGTGAAGGAGTAGAATGGAAGTATGAGTTTCCTCAAAAGAAAGAAAAGGAATATTAAATTGGCCTTCTTCCACCTAGAAATCTGCAGCAACATAAATGAAAATGAGTCAAACTAGGTAAATTTTCGACCGATTAAGATTAGAGAGAAGTGGAAATGGGAATAGGTATTATGACCTTTGCAGTTATGATAGCAGGAAGACACAAACGGAAGAGCTGCATTGGACCAGAATGCCAGCGGTGCTGTTGTTTCTTGTAAGCTTCATAGCACTCCGGTAACTCACATAACACCTTGACATCATTGAGGAAGATGAATTTCCACCCATGTAAGTGAGCTCGAACCGCAATGTCCATATCTTCAACTGTTGTTCTCTCAAGCCAGCCGCCAGATTCCTCCAAAGCTTTAATTCTCCACACTCCTGCAGTCCCATTGAATCCAAAGAAATTGAGGAACATGCCATTCACCTGCTGCTCCACCTCAAAATGGAAGCACAGGTTGATGTTCTGGAGTCTAGTAAGCAGATTCTCATCCTTGTTTACAAATGACCAACGAGCCTGAACAAGACCAAGTTCAGGATTTCCCTGCCATGAGTAACAATACCGTTTAGCAGCTATTTTACATAATGAAATATAATTTTATACTCTCAGTTGGATCTTTTATAATACCCTAAAGTGAGGAACAGTTAGTTTGAGGAAATCAGGGTTTGGCTGGAAGTCTGCATCAAGTATAGCAACAAACTCATAGTCCTTTACATAGTCACATGCCATGGCAGACTTAAGATTCCCAGCTTTGTATCCGGTTCTGATTAATCGATGCCTGTAGATTATGTTTACTCCTTTCTCCTGCCACGAGGAAACTTCATTTTTAATCAGAAGCTGCAAATTACCATCATCTGAATCGTCCAGAACTTGAATCAGAATCCGATCTTTTGGCCAATCAAGTTGACAGGCTGCTGCAATTGATTGTTCATAGACCTAAATGCCATGAATTATGTCAGCATAAGTTCAAGAAAGTAAATCATAACTGTTTTCAATGCTTGGTTGGGTGAAACAATAATAGCCTGGAAAAATCTTAACTGAAATGACAAAAACCTATTACAGATTAAGAAATATAATTGTGAATCTTTCAGAGTCAAACAGAACACATAACTACTTACGTCTAAGGAAATCTGAGCTAATTTCCAACAGTATTTCATCAATTGCTCAGGTAATAATAAATAAGGGAGCAAACACAGGCAAATCAAAAGGAGCAGCAGAGGCAAAAAGTGGACTATTACCTCTCTCTCATTGCACATAGGAATCTGAACAAGGACCTTGGGAAAACTTGAACTGTCCTTGGTGTCATAACCCTCTCCATTTATCTGGGGCTTCAACTTTTTGTACTTAATCCAGAAACATCCAAGACATAGAACCAATCGGTCTACAGACTGAATCAAAAATAGTACAACGCAAAATTTTGACAGATATATCACCAGAGGAGCAATATAAACAGCTCTAAAAGACATCCAAGCCATATAGGACCATTGCACAAGACCCTGAACCTCCCATGGTTGTATCAGCTTCAAATTCCATTTATTGAAATGGGCAATGATTTCGATGACCAAAGCTACTATGGAGATTGCAAGAAAAGCTTTGATGAATCTGTATAATCTTCTGCTTCTCCTATCTTCGTCACTGGTATCAGATATTGAAATGCGTTTCTTGACTGATATAAGAATCCCTTTTGAAGCCATTGCCAGCCAAGAAATACAGGTGAAAACCCTGTGAGCTTTGAGGAGAAGAAACCATGTGAATTGCTTACGACTGACTGCCTTTTGTTTCTCAGGAAGCAATGATGCATCCGTGCCATTCATCTCTACTAAAGAGAAATCATTAGGCTTCTCAATTGTGACTGCAACTGAGTTAGGAACCATTCTGAATCCAAACTACAGAGCAAAAACAGAGAAGAAAGATCAACACCCAGATCAAAATTTTGGAAGAAAAACAAGAACCTGAACTGGGATTTCAGCTGTGAGATCTATGAGGCAGCTTGCATGAAAAAGAAAGATGAAGAAAACCAGGAATTCAGATGCCAACAATGTCTTCTAAGAGAGAGAGTAAGCGAGAACTGGTTCTTACATGAATTCAATAAACTCGAAAAGGAGAGGGTTCCTGGTACATTGTTTCTGTGGTGTGAAAATATGAAGGTCCAGCTGAATAAAGAAAATTCCTAATTGGGGTGCATAAACAAAAGGAAATCAGCCTTAGTCAAATCTATATAAAATACTAAAAAGGCATAAATGAAGAACTTTCAAATTCACCTTAAAAAAATATAAATAGAGTATATTTATTTTTAAAAAAAATAGGAATAAATTATTTTTTTAAATCATAAATTAATATAAATTAATTTTTTTAATGTTTTTCATTAAAAAATATTAACATGATAACTAGAATTCTGATATTTTTCGTTAAAAAAAAAGTGATTTATATTGATTTATGATTTAAAAGGGTAATTTATGATTTAAAGGGGTAATTTATTTCTTTTTTTTTTTTGAGAAGTGGATGTGTCATTACCGATATTTTTTAAAAATAGATTTGAGAATTTTGCCTAAATGAAGAAAGTAAATTTTTTTTTCTATATATAAATTTTATATAAGGTTAGTGGATATTAGTTATGATTTAAAAAAAAATTAGAATCTCAGTTAATATTTAAAAATTGGTATTTTAATTTAAAATTTTAAAATTTAATTAGTTTTT